AAAAAACACATACTCATACTAAATGTGCTTTCTTCTCTACTTACTCCCCCTATGATTGGTCTCATGTCACCGCTGAATTACTTAAAACCCTTCTCCTGTCTCTTTGTAATTCTTAAATGTACCGTCTCTGGTCCAAATAACCGTATCTTTTGGATCGGGGTTTCCAATACCCATCATCTCCTTTTTCTGTCTGCTTTTCACATGTTTTTTGTTTTGTTTCCCATACCGTGTTCTGGTGGTAGGTATTCGTATTGAGATTTTATTAAATTCAAATTCGTATGGAAAAATCTCATATTTAGGGTAATGTTCTCTAATAAAAGTGATTTTATACTTAAAAATCTCTAATTAAGGATAAAAATTACTTATCACTTCGTCACAATCCTGATTGGTTGCTTTCCGTGTTACTTTCTAAGTCGCTTAATTTTCCATTTTTGCCTAAAATTTACTCATAAAAATACATAATAGGCCTATGGGCAAGATTTTAAAGTTGAAAAAAATATTTGAAGATTCGTAAATAAAACTTATTTTTACATTTGAAATATTGCTTAAATAAGTTATTTAAAGTTCAATATTCGCAAATTCTGATAGTCAAACCACCTATTGCAAACACTAAGGTTTACATTGAAATACAATTAATATGAAGATGGAAAATATTTGGTTAAAGCCGGAAGAAAAGAATATTTGGAGTTAATCGAAGAAGACATTCAAAAATTGAAGTTGTATTTGTACATGGATTACACTAGCACGAAAACTTAAAATATTATGAGTAAAAGTCATTGTTTCATTTAAATTCTCTTTAAATGTGTTATTTTAATATTTCACTTGTATTTCAAGTACAAATGACCAAACTTACAAATTCTAATAAATGAGTTTAAATTATATACTATGAAATTTTCGTACACTATCAATACAATTTAATATGTCATAGCAAATTACTTACTCCCGCCGTTTCAATTTAAATGACATACTTTCCTTATTAGTTTGTTCAAAAAAGAATGACATATTTTTATATTTAAAAATAATTTTAACTTTAAATTTTTCATTTTACTCATTTTACTTAATGATAAGTTTTTAGAGCCACACAAATGCATGACCCACTAAGCTTTTACCCCTTAAGCTTTTAGGACCACGTGTTTCAAAAGTATTCTTTTTTTTTCTTCTTCTTAAATTTTGTGTCAAGTCAAACTATATCATTTAAATTGAAATGGTGGTAGTACTATTTATTATAAAATATAAATTACTAATATTTATTAAATAAAATTACCAATAATTACCTTTTTAAGTTGCATGAGAAAAATTCTTTTGCATAAACCTTAAGCTCATTTTGAATAGTACTTCACGTGAAGTCTTCGGCCAACTACGTATGTCCAAATGGGCCGTCCTCTCATTCCCATTTCCATTAGAAAACAACCCCATTACAGTCCAACTTCGCCACTCCATTTAACGGTCCATTTGCGCTACTCCATTTCAGCTTCTTTTATACATCTTTCACTATTATTTTAAGCTTATTTTCTGCAAAAATGAAATCTATGAATCTTGTCGATTCATGGGCTGCTCAAGTCTGTTCAGTTTTCAATCAAACCATACCCAATAAAACCTTCACTGGATTCATGAAAATTCCTGTGAAAAACCCAAGTTTTTTGAAACAGAAAAGACCATTTTCTGCTCTAAGTGTGTCAGCTATTGCTACCAAAGAAGATGAGAAAGTTAAGGAAGTTGAAACACAAAAGGAGCAATTCAATTTCAAAACTTACGTAGCTGAAAAGGCTATTTCTGTAAATAAAGCTTTAGATGAGGCTGTTATAGTAAAAGACCCACCTGTGATCCACGAAGCAATGCGCTATTCACTTCTCGCCGGCGGTAAGAGAGTCCGGCCGATGCTCTGCCTCGCCGCCTGCGAGCTAGTCGGCGGCGACCAATCCAACGCTATGCCGGCTGCTTGCGCCGTCGAGATGATCCACACTATGTCCCTCATTCACGACGATTTACCTTGTATGGATAACGACGATCTCCGCCGTGGAAAGCCGACGAACCACAAAGTCTACGGCGAGGACGTGGCGGTCCTCGCCGGAGACTCGCTCCTCGCTTTCGCCTTCGAGTACATCGCCACCGCTACCGCCGGAGTTTCACCGTCGAGGATCCTCGCCGCCATCGGCGAACTGGCGAAATCCATCGGAACTGAAGGGTTAGTAGCTGGACAAGTAGCGGATATAGCTTGTACTGGTAACCCTAATGTTGGACTCGACACACTCGAATTCATTCACATACACAAAACGGCGGCGCTTCTAGAAGCTTCCGTAGTTCTCGGAGCAATCCTCGGCGGCGGAACAGATGAAGAAGTGGAGAAATTGAGGATATTCGCGAGATGTATTGGATTATTGTTTCAAGTAGTAGATGATATACTCGATGTTACAAAGTCGTCGGAGGTGCTCGGAAAAACCGCCGGAAAAGATTTGGCAGTAGATAAAACGACGTATCCAAAACTGCTGGGATTGGAAAAGGCTAAGGAATTTGCGGCGGAGCTCAACCGAGATGCTAAACAACAGCTGGTGGAATTTGATCCACACAAAGCTGCTCCCTTGATTGCTTTGGCGGATTACATTGCTTATCGTGAAAATTAGGAAATTAAATTTTACTTATATTTTTCTTCGAGTTATACGGTGTAATGCGCGAATCAAGCGTTTCCGTTAATTAACTGTAGCTTCTTCATTTTCAGTTTTTCACCCTGTGGTTTGAATCTTGAATCTACATGTGAAAGTCAAGGTGATTTATTATTGAACTAATTTCTGTCCTTAGAGGCTGGAATGGTTCATTTTGACACCATTTTTTTTATTTTTTTCTGTTGGTAAGTACAAATTTGTGGAAATTCATTACGGTTAAATACATATTCGCATTAGTTGTTAAAAAGAAAGGTAAGAATTCAAGTAATATAACCATAAATGTGTGTGTGGAAAACATTTACATTTTGTATTTATGAAAGTTTAACCATTACATTAGTGGATACAACCATAACAAATCACGGTTGTTTGTTTTCATTGAATTAGAATTAGCTAAAATTCTATTGGGGAATGTTACGATTTTGGTTTGACCAAACACATAGTGTTGATAAGGTTTTACCAATACATTAGTGGAATGCTACGATTTTCTTGTTTATGTCAAAGTTTTGGAGTGATTCGGTACTTCTTCTGATCTTTAAAACAAGAATAACAAGATTTTTATTAAAAGAGTCCTCTGACGAACCACATGGGGTGCTTTGAGCCACGTTTTTTCAATTTGGTTTCCTCAGAAAGTGAAACAACGGTTCGTGCTCCTTGACTGTATCTGCATGTACAAAGAAGTAAATGGTTGATATGAAGATATGAATCACTTAATAAAACAAAGACATGACTTTAGATACAAAACCGAATTTTTAAGGAGTTAAGCACATGTTAAACTTAGATAATCCAATGTTAGATAAACATAATCCTAAGAGGATTGTCAAGCTGGCACTTGAATACCCTAATTAGTCTTGAAGTAAATGACATTGCGGAAAAGAAATAAATAAGTTACGGGATCAACTGTCGGACAAGCTAAGCACAAAGAGAATATAAAATATAAAAAGAACAAAATATCGCCGTTGCCGGGGATCGAACCCGGGTCACCCGCGTGACAGGCGGGAATACTTACCACTATACTACAACGACCTTGTTGCTTACCCTTTCCTCCAAATATAATATATTCTGTACAAATATTACATAGTTCAGTGCTAAGTAGTACGTCTAATGCACTTGGTTGAGAAATACAAAAATCGGCTTCAGCCGATATACACGAATTATATGAATCTCCACAGTTTTGGTTTTCCGTATTACTATTAGATTATGCTCTTGCTACAGTAGGCATTTGAAACTAGTACATATATTCAGTACCATATTTATCTCACAACTACTCAAATTGTATATCCAGAAATGCATACTTGTGAAAATACCAGCTTCTACTTTGAATGTGAATCTCTTCTTCAGGCTTGCATACAAATTTATCTGCGCAAACACCTTAGTTACCTTGAAATTTTCATTCTACTTAATTTTGCATGTAAACAAACATTGCACCAACTCCGTGGAATTGACATGCACGACAGTCAACTTGTAAGCCATTTAAAGGTTCAAATCCCACCGGAGACAAGCCATAAAGATTTTCCTTAAATCCATAATCTTGGTGTAAATACCTGCCTTATATTGGAGCGCCGAGGAGGAAAGAAAAACAGAAATTGATGAAAAAAATGATCATATATATCTTACAAATCTTTTCCACTTAGCAAAACTGAAGGCCACTAGAATGAAGGGGAGAAATAAATTCGCTACATTCCGCTAAATATCGACCACTTGTCTGAAGACGGTTGATTCATCGAAAATTACAGAGCCTAACAAGGACACTGGAACTGAGCAACTCTGGCTACTATTACAAAGGCTCAACTATGAATAACCTTCAATCTTGAAAACTTACTTTTCCAGTAGAAAATGAATACATAGAGATTTTTCCTCTTCTTGGCTATCAAGGAGTATTCAAGAACTCAGAGAAGTTTGACTTGAATATATGTACTCAATGGAGAACACGAGTTGAACTTTTATAGCAAACAACCATCGGTTTTGAGCATATAATGCAAGCTATCCATCATTCCCATTGTTTTGTCATTGGCTGTCGCAATGAGATCTCTGCATTTTGGGGTACCAAACAGTTATACTCAGAGTAACCTGCTTCTGGAGGAGAAAGTTTCAAGCGAAATTAATCTCGAACAAGATTATGAAACATTAGACGAGCAGATGAAAGTTATCTTCTACTTATTTTTTTACTCATAAGTAAACTGCCAAACTAAATTCAGAAAACAACAAAGCACCCCCAACTGTAAAAACAACAACAACAACAACCCAGTAAAATCCCACTAATGGGGTCTGGGGAGGGTAGTGTGTACGCAGACCTTACCCCTACCCCGAAGGAGTAGAGAGGCTGTTTCCGAAAGACCCTCGGCTCAAAAAAAATAAAAAGACAAAATGATAAAATGACAAAAAGGAAACAATATTAGTATCACAACAACAATCATAGGATAAATAGGAACACCATGAAAT